GCAGCTGGGGGGCCACCCCGGGCTCCGGGCCCCGCAGGGTTGGCCGAGGTGCACGTTCCCAGGCTCTGTAGTTACTCCACAGCCACCATCCACAGCCGCCACCTTAGCGCTGGGGAGTCACCCCACGTCTTCGATGTTGCGGTGCAGGTGGTGAGTGGAAGAGGGGAGCACTGCGTCCTGTGTGCGTGGTCCTGCTCGGGTTCCCTAACGGCTCTCGGTGGGAGGTAGCTACGTCCTTTACAGATGCGGAAACTTGGCAGGTCTCCCACCCAGGACCGCGCACCGAGCCGCGCCATCCTGTCTTCCACCATGTTGCTGAGAGTAATGCAGTCCCGGCTGTTTTCTGTGATTTATTAATAGAAAGAGGACGCCAGAAACCTGTAGTTTGCAAGAAAAGGAAAGCTCTCCTCGGTGAGGTATGGGACATTGGGCTGTAGTTAGGGAATATGAGGAAGAATAGTCTTTTCCGGGGGCGCTCCTTTTCCTCCCTGCCAAACTTATGATATTTTCTAGCTCCCAGGTTTCTTTTCCTAAACCTTTTAAAAGGAACTTTAGTCTGTGGTCGCTTGACACTCACTACTTGATTGAATGATACTGTCATTAAACCGAAATGACCCATGCACTTTGGAGTAAGTATAAATGGCAGTGGCTCAACTTCGTAAACATATTCGTTAGAGTGACCATTGCCCCCAGGGTTTATATGTGCTTATGGTAGGACCTGTTTACTTCTTTGTAGAAAATAGCATCACCCTCTTCACCAAAATTACTGAGTCTGATAGTTCAGAATGCAGTGCTGAGATAATGGTGGAAGGGATGCAGAGAAAGCAGTCTGGCATCTTCTCTTCGGTTGATAAACAATTTTGGATATTCGGAATGGGAAACTCTGTTTTTAAAAGTAGTCTCAGGAACTAGTCATGTTTAATTCTTTTAAAAACCTTCATTTAAACCTTTAAACCTTTTTTTCCCTATCCAGTTGTAAGAGTTGCTGAGCAAGCAACTTGCTTTTCCTCTGCAATGATGAAAAAAGTAAGGACCCGATTTTACTGGCTGGTTTCTTGATCCATAGGAGATATCCCCATTCTCTAGTAGTATAAAATGTTTGAACTCATTCAGTGAGTATTTGTTGAGTATCTTGGATGAGCCACCTACTGTTCTGGAAGCTGGGATGAACTGACAAGACATACAGGAGTCCTGTGTCTGGAGATTATTTTCTTGTGGGGGACCAGATAGTAAATCAACAAGTAAAAGAGATACTTTGAGGTAGTGATAAGTGCTTATGAAACAAAAAGTGATTAAGAGTTAAGTGATTAAGAGTGCCTGGGGCGGGGGGTGGAAGTTCATATGATGAGATTGGGGCCAAAGTCTGGTTTTGTAGTCTACCTCTTAGGGTCTCACAAGCATCATGTTGTAGGTTACCACTCTGTGTTTGGAAAATACATCCCAACCCCCGAATCTCTCGCTCATGTGCACCTCTAGATAGGAAAATCTTTTTTATTTAGAAAGGCAGTTTAGTAGAGAAATTAAAATAGTACTTTAAAGGTGGCAGAAAAAAATGAAGCAGTGTGTGTAATCTCTCCTATGTAGTACCCGAAGATTTCAGGTAATAGAAAAGGTAAAGTATAATGTAAGGAAAGTGAATATTGGTCATTCAATTTGAACTTGGATTCCAACAGTAGCCTTAAATAAGAAAGTGTCTTAGGAAATTGCTTGCTAAGTTATATATTACTTAGAATAGAAATTCATGTTAGTCACATAAAATTCTATTTTTTATAGTACTCGTGATATGTACTTAAGCCTCTAGTTATGCTTTATTTTAGTAATTTGTGTGTGTTTCATGTTCTCTTGTTTATGAATGGTAGGGTAGGAAGCAAAGCATGTGGTGTAGTATAAAATATCTGTTCTGTGGGGGTAGGAGCTGGACTACACAGGTCATTTAACATATGTGGAGGGGGAGGTTGTTTAGCAATGAACCAAATGGAGCTTCTTAGGATGACAGTGACTATTTTACTACAGAAATTTGAATTCAGCACGAAGACAATGATCCTTGTTCACATACACTTTTATTTTTACTATGAGCTAGACATGTCAAACGCTCTGATCCATCTTTCTATCCATCCATCCATTCTTCCTCCTTCTGCCCTTTCTTTCCTTCTGGTGTTTTTTTTTTTTTTTTTTTTTTTTTTTTTTTTTGAGAGGTTTTTGCTATAGGGCGCAGGCACTCGCCAGAAAGAAAGAGACAGAAAGCGAGAAATCATGCCCCTGGGGGGGGGGGATGGCCACGCCGTAATCCCTTCTCATCTCTTCTCCTCCATTCTCTTCTCAGGACCTTGGATACACACGCACATGCACCTGGCATGAGTTTAAACCACTGGGTCTGGGACTTGGGACTTGAACCACAGTTGACTGCATGGGAGTCCAGTGACATAGCCATTACAACTGCTGGTTCCTCTTCTGGGCTTTTTTCTGCAGAGGAAAAAAATACGTACATTGTTAAAAGCGACTAGAGAAGCCTTATAACTAAAAGAAAGGGAATGTTTTATTTTTAGAGGTATTCACATGCTTCTGAATGCTCCACAATGTAGTTATTAATTGTAAATGCCCTGAAGTTAGGACCTATGGTTGATGACTTTTGTTATCCCTTGCACTTAGTAAGAGTTCAAGATGTGTTTTCTGATGATAATGAAGGAAATTATTATACATCCATTTGTCCCTAATTCAGCACTTTCCTCGTCCAGTTAATCTAGTATCTATTGAGCATCTCCTATATACACAGATTTTGAATTTCTTTTGAAGTTTATTTCTTTCATGAGTTTGAGGAGAGAGAGAGAGACAGGCATCCTCAACAGTTTCAGTCCCTTCCACATAATCAGGATCCTGGGTGTACATGCCTGCCATGTTTCAGGGCAGCTTGGGTTCCAGTCCTGAGGTGGCTATGTGGCTTCCAGCACTGCAAAGCAACATACTACTTGCCTGTGCCTTGGTGCTTGAAGAGTCAACTTTCAACTTTTCTTGGTTGGGAATCACTGTTGATTAAAGTAGTAAAAGTAATTTTATGCCAGATAGGAATTTCATTCCAGATATCCAGTGGTATTTGTAGTTACTAAGGGAAACTTTTGTGTTAAGACCAGGAAAGTTGACACGAAAGTCTTGATGGTCAGGACTGGGCCCACTTTAGGAAATTAGGGCTTTGTTGCAAGACAGCAGGCAGGAGCTGTGATGCTCTGGTGCTGACCTACTCCTGGTGTGACAGATAGTCCAGCTTTGCTCAGTGCGTGGTCAAAGTGTGGTTTTCCTGGTCCATAGCTGTAGTTTGGTTTTCTGCCAGGCTAGTTAATTCCCCTGTGCATGAGCCTCAGAATTGCTAGCCACAGTTACTTGACCCTAGCACTCAATCCAACCAAAGCAACAGCAGGAAAAATAGAGCAAGAGTGAATCAATGGTTTAGAAAAACTTATCATGATCACCACAATCACACTTCTTATAATAGAGAAGAAAATATTTCTTACATTTTGATGATAGAAAGGTAAAAGAGAGTAACTTTTTTTTTAAAATTTGCTATAGAGCATATGTGTTCATGAGAGAGAGAGAGAGAGAGAGAGAGATAGGAAAGTGAAAAAGCACACCTCAGGGATGATGGCCATGCCACAATCCCTTTTCCTCCATTCCCTTTACACAACTTTTGCATGTGCTTGGATGTATTTCTCAAGTTGCAGGGTCCAGGACTTGAACCATGCAGTTGGCCATATGGGATTCAGCCACCTTAGCCTCCATTGCCACCAAGTGGCCCAAGAATAACTTCTTTTTTTTTCTTTCTTTTTTTTTTTTTTTAATTTTTTTTAGAGTTTTTTTGCGATAGGGTGCGTGCGCTTGCCAGAAAGACAGAGAAAGACAGAGACAGAAAGTGAGAAATCACCCCCCAGGGGGGATGGCCATGCCACAATCCCTTCTCCTCCACTCTCCTCTCGGGACCTTGGGCATGCATGCACATGCGCCCAGTGTGAGTTTAAGCCGCCGGGTCCGGGACTTGAACTGCAGTCGACTACATGAGAGTCCGGCGACATAGCCATTACGCTAACTGCTGGTCCCAAGAATAACTTCTTTGTCAATTTTTCTATCACGTAGTCTGAACGTTTTATTTTTCCTTTTGCACTGTAGACTCTTAGATAATTCTTGATTTATATTACTTAAGGTCTAAAATAAGTAATTAATTAATGAGGATTGGAGAGCTAACATAAGACATCCACAAGTTGGGTGTTTAGTATCAAATGGGAAACTAAAGGCCACTGCTATGTGAAGAAAATACTAATGAGGGGGTGGGAAGTGGCATGGTGATTAAGGGCGTTGGACTCCCACAGGGCTGACTACAGTTCGAAAAATGACCTGGCGGCTCATTTTCTCTCTCACACATATGCTCTATAGCAAGTTAAAAAAAAAGTTATTCTCTTTTACCTTTCTATCATCAAAATATAAAATATTTTCTTCTTTTCTATTATGAAAAGTTTGAACTACTGGTGATGATGATAAATTTTTCTAAACTATTGATTCACTCTTGTTGCTTTCTCTCTCTCTCTCTCTTGCTCGCTCTGCCCCTCTCTGGTCAAATTAAAATAAGTAGGGGAACCAGCAGTTAGCGTAATGGTTATGTTGCTGGACTCCCATGTAGTCGACCTCGGTTCGCGTCCCGGACCCGGTGGCTTAGAACTCACACCGGGCGCGTGTGCGTGCGTGTCCAAGATCCCAAGAGGAGAATGGAGGAGAAGGGATTGCGGCGTGACCATCCCCCCTGGGGGGTGATTTCTCGCTTTCTATCTCTATGTCTCTCTGTCTGTCTGGCGAGCGCACGCACCCTATAGTGAAAAAAAAAAAAAAAAAAACCTCTCCCAAAAAAAAGAAAATATTGATGAAAGACTTCATAGTTTAGCCAGATAGAAACATTTGAGAAGTTTATGCAATCTGGTTAGTAAATATTTACTCCATATCTGCCACATAACTCATATTCTGATCTGGTGAGATAAGTTTTTGTTTGGTTAGTTGCTGGGTGCTTAGTGTCAGGCACATAGTATGCTCTTGATAGATGGATTTTGATAAGAATAAATTTAAGTATCCAACTGACATTTTCATTAGTTTATTTATTTTAAAGAGTATGATTTTTCCATGAGAGATTGGGGGGGAGGGGTGGAGGGAGAGAGAGAGGTGTGTGTGTGTGAGGCCCGCAACAGGGTCTTCATGCTGTGATCTACACCCATCCACATCCACAGACAGTCCAGACTATAGACACGTGTGCACATACCTGACAAGCACAGGGATACTTCAGGAAGCAAACTGGGGACCTTCTCATACGGTCTCAGCATGGTGGAGTCTTGTGTTACCACTGTACTATGTGGCTGGCATCAGTTGATGTTTTTAGATTGAAATT